GCATCTTTTTCCATATCCCGGTTCCTAAAATCGATGCCATACACACGTCCCCTGATAGGGGACGTAACAGGGATTAAACTGATAGGAATAATACTACTTAACACACCTTATAATAATGCAGAGAGAGGCAATGCAGAGAGAGGAGTCTGAAGAAGAAGAGTCAGAGGAGGAAGGTGGCTTTGAGGAGGTGGAAGACCAAAAACAGCAGGCGTCCCAGGGGGCTTGTTGTCACCTTTCGGGGACCAATGGTGTTGTACGTGGCTGGGTGGAGGAAGAGACCTTCAATGACATCAGTGAGGACAAGGAACGGGACATGGCTAGCTTGGTATCCAAACCTTGTGCAAATGGGGAGTTTGCGGTTGTGCAAATGGACTGTTTGCGGTTGTTTGCAGTGCGTTAAACGGGGAGTTTGGTCTGTCACTGTGAAGCGGGCGTAACCCTTACACTACCTGATCGATACAACATCATACAGTAGGTCCCCCCCTTTATTATTTTTATGGCCCCAACCCACCACTCATGGGTGGGGATGGGCGGGAGGACAGTAGGTCCCCCCTTATCCTTATTTACTGAATATTCCCCTGTATAACAATGTTTGGCATTTAGTGAATATTCCCTATTCTGCTCTGTGTCAGTGTGTATCAGGGATCCTTAGGATAGGTGTCAATCCATATCTGCCAAGTGACCCTATGTAGGGGGAACTTTCCCTATTCTGCTCTGTGTCAGTGTGTATCAGGGATCCTGAGGATAGGTTTCAATCCATACCTGCCAAGTGACCCTATGTAGGGGGAACAGTCCCTATTCTGCTCTGTGTCATTGTGTATCAGGGATCCTGAGGATAGGTGTCAATCCATATCTGCCAAGTGACCCTATGTAGGGTGAACAGTCCCTATTCTGCTCTGTGTCAGTGTGTATCAGGGATCCTGAGGATAGGTGTCAATCCATATCTGCCAAGTGACCCTATGTAGGGGGAACAGTCCCTATTCTGCTCTGTGTCAGTGTGTATCAGGTATCCTGAGGATAGGTGTCAATCCATACCTGCCAAATGACCCTATGTAGGGGGAACAGTCCCTATTCTGCTCTGTGTCAGTGTGTATCAGGGATCCTGAGGATAGGTGTCAATCCATATCTGCCAAGTGACCCTATGTAGGGGGAACAGTCCCTATTCTGCTCTGTGTCAGTGTGTATCAGGGATCCTTAGGATAGGTGTCAATCCATATCTGCCAACTGACCCTATGTAGGGGGAACAGTCCCTATTCTGCTCTGTGTCAGTGTGTATCAGGGATCCTTAGGATAGGTGTCAATCCATATCTGCCAAGTCACCCTATGTAGGGGGTACAGTCCCTATTCTGCTCTGTGTCAGTGTGTATCAGGGTCTCTGAGGACAGGTGTGAATCCATATGTCAAGGTGTCAATGAATATCCATTGTGATTTAGGAATGTTAGGTGATTTATGCCCTTTATGGATTAAGACCAGACTCTGCATCAACTGTGTAATTTTCCATGGGAGTTTTGCCATGGATCCCCCTCCGGCATGCCACAGTCCAGGTGTTAGTCCCATTGAAACAACTTTTCCATCACTATTGTGGCCAGAAAGAGTCCCTGTGTGTTTTAAAATTCGCCTGCCCATTGAAGTCTATGGCGGTTCGCCGGTTCGCGAACATTTGCGGAAGTTCGCGTTCGGTGTTCGCGACATCACTACTCATAATATATACCCAATATATCGACTGTACTACGCTATATATTTTTTTCCCTCCTATACCTATCATCTAGGACATAACCCCTGGAGAAATTCGGATCCAAAGGAAGGTGAGAGTCGCCTTAACGGACCCTAAGGCACATATACCTGAGCTAGTGTTTTAGCTCAGAAAAGTGTGAGTCAGAAATTTATATTTCTTCATTTACTATATATTTATATACAGGTTACACTATGTTTTGTATATTTGTGTTTTGTATTTAAGGTTTATTTGGAAGTATTGGGACAACATATAAGTATATACGATCCCTTAAAGGTATATCATAAATATTTCCTTTATACACCTACATATCTACTATATGCAATTAGAGCGCTACACCTGGTGTTTCTTTGGTTTTTGACATTGGCTTTGTACTGACTTTCCTTTATTTCTGGTTTTCCTTACTATTGGCTACTCCTTAAAACTGTGTTTCTTTCTGTGTTCCTACCTTGGCTAGTATTTCGACTATTCTATGGTATGTTAAGTCTGGCCATTCTAAGGTCCGATTAGAAGTTACTTTTAGTTCTAGGTGTGATGCTACTCTGTGTGCTGGATCAACTGTAATCCTGTGTGTAGCAGTATATCGATATTTATTCATTATTAAGTATTTGCTATAAGTTATTATTACAAATAGTTCAGGAGACCTTCTACCCATTTTTGTCCTTTGAATACAATCTTTTTAGTGCTTTTATTACTTCTGTTAAGTTCCGCTTTTTGAATATGTTGGGCACTCAGATCGGAGCTCTTCAATGATATATACAAATTGTGGGGTTCCTGTGAATTATGACTATATTTTGGGGTGTTTTGTAAATATGTTGTATATTTTCCTGTACCTGAGAGATAAATTAGTTTCTCAGTTTGGACTCCATTATCTCTCAGACAATGGTTTGACTGGGAGGGGCTTGTGTACTTTTTGCATGGAGAACTCATGCTGGGCGTCTGTGCATAAAAGACTGTGTTTGAAATAAATAAATAAATAAGTTTTACTTCCAAAACTGTGTGTCATGCAGTTACTGGGGGAAATAGAGCTATTCATATTTCAGCACCTTGGTCCAGAGTTCCAGTCTTCACAGATCCAGGGGGAGGAAAAGTCCCTGTCAGGATTAGCGCTCGGCTACAATGAACACTAACGAAAGAAAACTCCACATATCCTTGTAAAATCATTCTATATGTTTTGATATTTTTTCTGTCACAAAGCACCTTTCCCTTCCAAAAGCTCCATATGTCTACTTGTACTTCTTTTCAACAATCTGAACACTGCAGTTATATATGGAGTGGCTTCTCTTAACAAAATTGTATGATGAAGATATATTAGCTTACAATATAACCTCTTTTTCTCTCTTTTACACTTTATTACTTGTGTAATATGTGTTGCATGTTTTGTTTTTACATGTATAATACTATGACAGACTACCCGGTCACCCTGGAATTGTACCAGCATTGTAGTCCTTCACCTCACCCCCGAAAAGAGCATAATCTCTATGACTGTTGGCCTGGTCCCAGAGACCCTTTTTGTCTGCTGAACGTATTTTATTAAGTAATTATTTATTAAGTTATTTAACTGTGTTATTGTTGAGTAATTGTTTAAATGTATGCATCATTGCACAACTTATCTTGGAATCAGACGTGTAATTAAATTATGGAATATTAATCTAATTATGTCCTAGACTCCAATACACCAGAGAGTGACTTGTATTGTTTTGTTTGATGATACCCCTGTACTCCTCATAGGCGTGCGCACGGGGTGTGCCGGGTGTGCCTGGGCACACCCTAATCCCCGTGGCACGCCTATGGTTTGAGTCCTGCAGGAACAGCGTTCCTGCACTTTTTTTGAGCAGGAACGTTGTTCCTGCAGGCACTCAGCGTCCCCTGTTTCACCTCTTTCCCCTGTCATGGGGGGGCAAGAGGTGATGGATCCCCCCCCTCATTGCAGCTCAGCCACGGCGAGGGAGCTCTCTGCTGTGTGCTCTCTGCTCCCTCTCGCCGCGCGCTGATGCCGGGAGCCGGAATATGACGTCATATTCCTGCTCCCAGCTACTGTAGACAGCCCGCGCGGCGAGAGGGAGCAGAGAGCACACAGAAGAGAGCTCCCTCACCGTGGCTGAGCTGCAGAAAGGCACCCACCCCACTGGACCCCAGGGACAAGTCCACGCCAGCACTCCAGGTAGGAGGCTGGGTGGACATTTTTTTTAAATTAAAATGTAATAATTTGTTCTTGTGTGTGTCTGTGTGTGAGTGTGTGTGTGTGTCTGTGTGAGTGAGTGAGTGAGTGTGTGTGTCTGTGAGTGTGTGTCTGTGAATGTATGTGTGTGTCTGTGTCTGTGTGAGTGTGTGTCTGTGTGAGTGTGTGTGTGTCTGTGAGTGTGTATGTGTCGGTGAATGTGTGTGTCTGTGAGTGTATGTATGTGTCTGTGTGAGTTATGTCTGTGAGTGTATGTATGTATGTGTGTGTGTGAGTGTGTGTGTGTCTGTGAGTGTATGTGTATGTCTGTGTGAGTGTGTGTGTGTCTGTGTGAGTGTGTGTCTGTGAATGTGTGTGTGTGTCTGTGAGTGTATGTATGTGTGTGTGTGTACGCATATATATATATATATATATATATATATATATATATATACACACACACACACACACACAGAGCCGGCGCTATCTGAGTGCCGGCTCTGCTCTAAGCCTCCATGGGCCGGCGGGGAGACCAAAGATCTACCTCACCGGCCCACAGCAGCATGGAGGGAGGCAGGAGAGGACCCAGGGAGCTCTAGACAGAAGCTCCGCCAGGTTCCTCTCGCGATATCTGAGCGTTGCTGGGCAACGCTCAGATCTCGCGAGAGTTAACTCTAGCCCCGCAGGCTAGAGTTCACTCTCCACTGGACCACCAGGGATGGCACATGGCAGCAAGGATTTACTAATCTGCCAAATCCCTCCAAACATACAGCACACACACATACAGCACCTACAAACATACAGCTCACACACACACAGTACACTAACCGCACCCTCACACAAACACACACAGCACCTTTAAAAAAAAACACAACACCCTCACACACAGCACACTAACAGCACCCTCACAAACACACACACACACACACACAAACAGCACCCTCACAAATACACGACACTCACACAAACAGCACCCTCACAGGACAAACATACACACAAAAACAGCACAGTCACAAACACACACACACACAAACACCCTCACATCACACTAACAGCACCCTCACACACACATCACACTAACAGCACACTAACAACACACACAGCAGTGTATGTGTGTGTGTGTGTGTGTGTATGTATCTATATATATATATATATATACATACACATATATATATATATATATATATATATATATATATATAGATACATACACACACACACACACACACGGCGTGTGTTTGTGCTTTATGGTGCACACCCTAATGCAATAGGCTGCGCACGCCTATGGTACTCCTATATATGTGTGTGCTGTGGTTCAATAAACTAGTTCTACTCCCAGAATTAAAACTTGTCTAATGTATGTGGGGAAAAGACTATACTACTACAGCTATAATCACCGAAGCTACTTTGGAGAGTTATAAACAATGCGGGAAAGGGATCCTCTGGCAGTGATACTCTGGGGATCCGCCACAGATACTGTAAAAAGATTATTACGCTGTGGGTTATCTATGTGAAAGCTAGATTTTTAATAGCTGTATATGCTTAAAATGGAGTATGAAAATCGTTTAGATATACATACACTGAGAAAAATTATGAACACAACACTACAATTCCAGGGTGACAGGGTGGTCTGTCATAGTATCATACATGTAAAAACAAAACATACAACACATATTACACAAGTAAAGTGTAAAAGAGGCAAAAAGAGGTTATCTTGCAAGCGAATATGTGACGAGACCAATCTCGCCACATTGCATTGGAGAAGCCTGGTTGCTCGCCTGCTGTCTCTGGACTATGGCCCCCTGTTAAAAGACATTATTTCGCCTGCAGAAAAGCTGTATTCGTGTGGTCTGAGTGCCGTTCACTTAATAATGTGCGCTCAGACCTGAGCTATCTGGGGATATGTTAAATGTATAGTTTTAATGTAATGTGTCTTACCTGGTGTATTTTAACAGTAATGCTTGTTTTAGTATCCCCATGTGCATAATGGAGATTTGCCTTTGTCTTGGGAGATAATTGAATTACTTCTCAGTTATCTCCCAGGGCAGAGGGGAGGAAGCCAGGATGCATTGTGGGAATATACTGTGACTGTGTGTCCTATTTGTCTGCTAGTCTGTCCCTTGTCACAGTCTCCCATTTGGTCCCCCAGGGGAGTGTCCACCAGGTGGAAGACCTGCATAAATACTGGGCAGGTAGCCCTCATTAAACAGACCACTGCTTGACCCTCAACACAGAGCCTTGTCTTGTCTTTGGGGGGGGTTACTGTATGCTGATAGAGACTGATTGCCAGGAGTGTAAGCCGCTTGGGTGCTTTTCCTGTTCGTCTGCTAGCAGCTATTCGTGAGGGTCCAGTTCGAGTGTTTGGAGCATTCCCTTGTATGCAGTTCGAGTGTTTGGAGCATTCCCTTGTATGCAGTTCGAGTGTTTGGAGCATTCCCTTGTATGCAGTTCGGGTGTTTGGAGCATTCCCTTGTATGCAGTTCGGGTGTTTGGTGCATTCACTTGTACTCAGTTCATGAGTTTTGGTGATTCTACAGTAGCTGTGCCTGTCTCTGAAAGGGGATTATCGTCTAAGCGTTTTTTACCCCTTTTGTGCAAAACGGTCCGTTACAATTGGTGGCAAGCGGCGGGATCGTTCCTACAGCCAGAAGGACAGCTACAGGAGACACCATTTCTTTGGATTTACAAGTGGGGGCAACGCATGTCCCAGTACAGCTACCCTAAAAGCAACAGAATGGAACCAGCAGTGTTATACGAGGAGGAGGACCTGGATGGCCGGGATGCATTAAGGAAAGGCATCTGGTACCAGGCCCTGGATAATGTACAATACCAGCGGGGTGAGAGTCTCCCCAGTGAAGAGCAGCGGTTGCAGAAGCAAGTGGCCCTGCGTATGCCCTTCCTGGGAGAGCAGCCCCTGTAGGAATGGGTGAAGGAACTAGAGCACCGGGTATGGCAGGAGCTATGGCTGGAGGATGCCTACCAGGCGCTCTGGTGGTATATGGCACAGTATATACCCTGGACAGCTGAGCATGACAAGCCAGAGGGAGAGGAGTTTGAGGGTCCTGGCTTATTATGGGAGTCCTTTGCAGAGCCTGACTTCGGGATCCCTGTGCAGAACAGACTTCAGGAAATTTTCTATGAGAGGGAGGCTAGGCATGACTGGGATGACCCCCATGAGGTAGAGCAAGACCTGGCTCACCTAGCAACCCTGGAGTGGGAACTGGAGCAGGACTACCGAGATCTCTTCCACTCCATTGGGAAGGCTCCGCAGGACAGCAGAGTGACAGATCCAGTCTCAGACCCCTTCAGCTGGGAAGATATTGTTGAGATTTACTGGGAGGAACCCCAGGCGGCAGGTGGAGATGGGACCGAAGTCTCTCCACCGGCCCTACAGGGATGTTGGGCGGTCAGCCCAGATGCCCAGCGGCAGATTGATTTGCAGGGAATAGAGAGCCGTGTCTCCTTTCCCCAGCGGCAGTGTGATATGCCGGGAATTGGGAGCCCAGTCTCCATTCCCCAGCGGCAGTGTAAAGGGCAGGGAGAGAAGAGCAGCGTCCTCCCTCCCCAGCGGCAGGCTGAGTTACAGGGGGCAGAGGTAGTTGTTCCTGCCCCCCAGCAGCCGAGTGATATGCCAGGAAGGCAGTGTGAAGTCCAGGGAGAGGAGAGCAGTGTCCTCCCTCCCCAGCGGCAGCGTGATTTTTTGGGAATTGGGAGCCCAGTCTCCATTCCCCAGCGGCAGTGTGATGTGCCGGGAATTGGGAGCCCAGTCTCCATTCCCCAGCGGCAGTGTTATTTGTTGGGAATTGGGAGCCCAGTCTCCAGTCCCCAGCGGCAGAGTATCCGGCAGGGAATAGAGAGCCCAGTCTCCTTTCTCCAGCAGCAGGACTCTGTATTGGGAGGAGAGACAGTCGGTCTCCCTCCACGGAGGCTGGAAGTATGTATGGGAGAGGAACTTTCTACCCCCTCTCCTCAGCGGCAGATTATCAATGTGCAGGGAATAGAGAGCCCAGTCTCCTTTCCCCAGTGGCAGAGTGTTCTATCGGGAGAGGAGCCTGTTACCCCCTCTCCCCAGCCACAGCTTAGTGTACAAGGGGGAGACTGTAAGCCCCACACCTGTGCAGATGGGACCGTGGTCTCTGCACTCCCAGCACAGGGGGTAGGGACGGTCGGTCCTGCCCCCCCATGACAGGGCTGTTTAGCCAAAGGGGAGACAGTCGGTCTCCAGCAGCAGGGCTGTGTACCTAAAGGGGAGACAGTCGGTCTCCAGCAGCAGGGCGGTGTGTCTAAAGGGGAGACAGTCGGTCTCCCCCTCCAACAACCAGGCTTCAACCAGGCTACCCTCCCAGTAGCGCTGGCAACAGGGCAGAGTGCCGCTGGTCTCTGCCCATGCAGCAACCCACCAAGTCAGCGTACCCGTACCCAGCACAGCCATGGTGAGGCACCTGGACAAGTTTCTCCTCTACCCAGGTGTAGTAACCATTTATTGTGGGTGGGCTGTGCTGTTGATTGTGTTTTGTGGGTGGGCTGCTGGACTAACAAGGGCACTGACCGGCAGGAGGTCAGATACCCTGTTAGTCTGTTTGGAAAAGGGGAGAGATGTGACGAGACCAATCTCGCCACATTGCATTGGAGAAGCCTGGTTGCTCGCCTGCTGCCTCTGGACTATGGCCCCCTGTTAAAAGACATTGTTTCGCCTGCAGAAAAGCTGTATTCGTGTTGTCTGAGCGCCATTCACTTAATAATGTGCGCTCAGACCTGAGCTATCTGGTGACATGTTAAATGTATAGTTTTAATGTAATGTGTCTTAGCTGGTGTATTTTACCAGTAATGCTTGTTTTAGTATCCCCATGTGCATAATGGAGATTTGCCTTTGTCTTGGGAGATAATTGAATTACTTCTCAGTTATCTCCCAGGGCAGAGGGGAGGAAGCCAGGATGTATTGTGGGAATATACTGTGACTGTGTGTCCTATTTGTCTGCTTGTCTGTCCCTTGTCACAGTCTCCCATTTGGTCCCCTAGGGGAGTGTCCACCAGGTGGGAGACCTGCATAAATACTGGGCAGGTAGCCCTCATTAAACAGACCACTGCTTGACCCTAAACACGGATCCTTGTCTCGTCTTTGGGGGGATTTACTGTATGCTGATAGAGACTGATTGCCAGGAGTGTAAGCCGCTTGGGTGCTTTTCCTGTTTATCTGCTAGCAGCTATTCGTGAGGTTCCAGTTCGAGTGTTTGGAGCATTCCCTTGTATGCAGTTTGGGTGTTTGGTGCATTCACTTGTACTCAATTCGTGAGTTTTGGTGATTCTACAGTAGCTGTGCCTGTCTCTGAAAGGGGATTATCGTCTAAGCGGTTTTTACCCCTTTTGTGCAAAACGGTCCATTACAGAATATATCTTCATAAATGCTGCACTTATAAAAGAATGGTGATTGGTAATATGAGGCTCCATTAATACTTAAAATATCAGATTATAACTGTGACGAGAGCAATCTCGCCACATTGCATTGGAGAAGCCTGGTTGCTCGCCTGCTGCCTTTGGACTATGGCCCCCTGTTAAAAGACATCTTTTTTACCTGCAGAAAAGATTTATTCGGTGTTTGACGCCTAACTCATGGAACTAAAAACGGACACAGTTTGGCGCGAACACCGCTGAAGCCGCCGACCTCCCTTCTTGTTCGGCGGGAGTGCACGAACAACCCGGTGTTCGGGAGTTTTACCCGACTATGTTATACCCCAGAAAGGAATCCCATGGAGCCCATTTGTATGAGAACTGACTGTGTAAAGACTTTGGCTCCATGGCGATAACACTGTATTCGTGTGGTCTGAGCGCCATTCGCTTAATAATGTGCGCTCAGACCTGAGCTATCTGGGGATATGTTAAATGTATGCTTTTAATGTTATGTGTCTTGCATAGTATATTTTAATAGTAATTCTTGTGTTAGTATCCCCACATGCATAATGGCGATTTGCCTTTGTCTTGGGAGATAATTGAATTACTTCTCAATTATCTCCAAGGCAGAGGGGAGGAAGCCAGGATGCATTGTGGGAATATAATGTGACGGTGTGTCCTATTTGTCTGCTTGTCTGTCCCTTGTCACAGTCTCCCATTTGGTCCCCTAGGGGAGTGTCCACCAGGTGGGAGACCTGCATAAATACTGGGCAGGTAGCCCTCATTAAACAGACCACTGCTTGACCCTCAACACGGAGCCTTGTCTCGTCTTTGGGGGGATTTAC